ATATAAACCTGTTATATTGGATCCAGTTTCAACTTTTAATTTAAAAACAGTAACCATCCTTATGTTTCTAAATGGTTTCTTCTAGATTTAGCCTGATTTCTTACAGCCTATACAGGTTTATGTTTATGGGTTTGTGTTTCCCCACTATGGAAAACTAGTTAAACTCTTTAAAACATATTTCGAGTTCTTTTTAATGTTTATAGAATTACAGACTTGAAGAAATAACTATTGATGAGATAGAATATATAGTAGGCCTAACAAAGGCCCAGCTGAGGAGCTTACATTTCAACTCATTGTTACAGCTATTGTTTATTATTTTGGGGGAGGTTATTGCTGTTCTTCTTAATGTTGTTTCAGAACATTGTGCTCAGTTTTTGTTTTTTTGTTTTTTTTTTCTAATTTTTATTTTGAGATCGAGTCGGGCTCTGTTATCCAGGCTGAAGTGCAGTGGCATGATCTCAGCTCACTGCAACCTCCACCTCCCGGGTTCGAGTGATTCTCTTGCCTCAGCCTCCCAAGTAGCTGGGATTACAGGTGTGCACCACCACACCGGGTAATTTTTGTATTTTTGGTGGAGACGGGGTTTCACCATGCTGGCCAGGCTGGTCTCAAACTCTGGACATCAGGTGATCCACCCACCTCGGCTTCCCAAAGTGCTGGGATTACCTTGTGTTCAATTTTAAAACATTTGCTGGGAAGAAATACTATCCATCTACAAGCTTATTCCAAGTAATGTATTATTTTAGAATTAATGGAAGGATTTATTTAATAATTCTGATTGAGTTTTTTTTTAATCTCTTGCTCCTCGCTAATAACAAGAAGGGGGAAAAAGAGATTTGGTTTTCTTAGGGGAGGGGCCACATTAAGGTATCGAACTTTGGTATTCCTATAAAGGAATATTTAAGAAGAATTCTACTGAACATTAGTGTGCCAACTCAGAATCAATCCAAGTTTTATAGTAATTCTTATTGCTGTCATAGTCCTCAGCGTCTTACATGCTTAGCATATCCCTCAAAGTTCAGTAGCAGCTCCTACTGAACTTTCATCCATTGACCTTCTTTCTACTTATGTGAACAGGAGAACTGCCCTAAAGGAGTTGGTGTGACCACTGCATAAGGGATATGATCTAGGGCTTCCCAGCTTTTAGAAAACACTCTTTAGTAAAGCACAGCTCTTCAGTGCTGCTTCTTGGTTGGTAAAAAACTAAAAAATAAAACTTAAGAAAAGCACAGCTCTGCCCGGGCGTCGTGGCTCACGCCTGTAATCCCAGCACTTTGGGAGGCCGAGGTGGGTAGATCACGAGATCAAGAGATCGAGACCATCCTGGCCAACACGGTGAAACCCTGTCTCTACTAAAAATACAAAAATCAGCTGGACATGGTGGTACACGCCTATAGTCCCAGCTACTTGGGAGATTGAGGCAGGAGAATCACTTGAACCCAGGAGGCAGAGGTTGCAGTGAGCTGAGATCGCACCACTGTGCTCTAGCCTGGTGATAAAGCAAGACTCCGTCTAAAAAAAAAAGAAAAAGAAAAAGAAAAGCACAGCTTTGCTCTGCATTGCTCTGTTTTTAATGAGATATTACTCTCATTTAGAAATTTCTTGGCCATTCTCTCTTAAATAGCAGGAAAATACCTTTGCTCAGTGGTTTTTTGAGCAGCAATAGGAAGGAATAGGGAGGGGCTAGTCTTCAATAACACGATTGTCTCATTTGCTAGACTTTCCTTGCCAAAGACTTTTGAGGCTTTCTTTTAGATACCACGTTAAGTCATTGACTTCTGACTTGGTCTGAAAGTCCTTCATTAGGCTGCTGCTGATAACCACTTAGCCAAGAAAGCTAACCTCTGAGCACCCTCTAGTGTATTGCCTATAGCTTTCCAGATCTTACTTCAAAAAAGTTAAAGTGCCTTTTAATCCCCAAGAAAAAATCCTTGCTCCAGCTTCTATATTGGGCCAAAATTTCAAGTTAAAGTTTTAACAAGTATCTGACTCATGTTCCCATTTACATATTAGTGTAATGAAATTTTCACTAAAACTATCCCTGCCACCAAAGGAAATATGAGAAGTCTCTCAAATATTCTTTCAGGAGAAAAATTTAGCAGAGCAGGTATATTACAACATTTCCCTTTCTGTTAAAAATCACGAACAAAAAGGGACTTGCATATCCTTCAGAGAACAGGACTCATAACACATATATAGCTGACAGTACTCACATCTTTGATTCCCAGCAGGGAAATAAGCCAGGATGAAGCCTGAAGAACCCCAATCTCAAGAATTGACAAGGTAGACATTCAAGTTTATGTTCCATCAATCACTGGAAAACTTCTCCTGAAGCCTCTGCTCTTCAGCTGTTTTCATGTTCAGGCAGTTTTATTGCTGAAAGGTTGGGGAACACATCCTTTTAAAGACTGTCTTTATTAATGTGTTCTATTTCCCCTGAGAGCTCTTTAGTCCCTTCTGGAAGTAACCTTGTCTAACATGCATGGAGATCAGCAATAACTTTTTCTGTGTTTCTGCATTTTAATATTTCCCCCTCCTCCGCCTCCTCCTCCTACTCCAGCTCTCTGTAGTGCTTGGTACTTTTCCATAGGAAATCTGGTGGATTGACTTTCTTGAGTACCTGGACAGCTTGATGCCCAGTATTCTTTTGGCTAGAAGTAATCCTTTTCAAAGGTAAAGGGTTCAAGCTGCTCATTTGGCTTGGAAGAGAGAGGTGTTTTGAGGAATATCTGAACCATATCTACTTGGAAGTAGAGACAAATCCTTCAAAGTATCTGATAAATGATGGTAGAGGTAGCTTGACTATAACTCTAGGTCAGGATTGGCACTTAAAACAGAAAGCCATTTGGAAAACTGATGAAAACTATGGGCTCTCTCCCCAGGAAAATACAAACACAAAATTTTGCATACTGTCTTAGGGGGTTCTAGACATCCATGGAATCTAGGTTAAGAACATTTAATCTGAAAGAATAGAAATATTAATATCTTAGGCTTGTATATCAATATGTAGTTTTCAAAACCCTCTCACGTTATCTTGTTATCTCGGCATACATTTTAGATAGGCAAAGTAGATATGATTGTCCCCATTTTAGAAATGATAACAGACCTTAAGAAGTAGAGATACAGGCCGGGCTCGGTGGCTCACGCCTGTAATCTCAGCACTTTGGGAGGCTGAGGCGGGTGGATCACGAGGTCAAGAGATCGAGACCATCCTGGTCAACATGGTGAAACCCCGTCTCTATTAAAAATACAAAAAATTAGCTGGGCATGGTGGTGCGTGCCTGTAATCCCAGCTACTCAGGAGGCTGAGGCAGGAGAATTGCCTGAACCCAGGAGGCGGAGGTTGCGGTGA